ATGGACCCTTTGATGATGAGTGGTTATTTGCTCCTCTTTGCTTTATATATTGCGATAAATCACCCATAGTACAATATTCCATAATTAAATGTATGTGACTCTCAGATTTCTAATTTATGAAAATAAATAACTTGAGATATATATATATTTATAACTTTTATTTATATAAAAAAATTAAATGACTTACTTCACAATCAACTAATTGAACTATGTGATCATGTTGAATTCGTTTGAGAATTTTTATTTCTGATTCTAAGTTTTCAAGTAATTTTTTTGTCAATTTTGATCTTGATACAGATTTAATTGCTACATTTTCTTTCGTTTTCTGTGTATATTAAAAAAAATGTAAATAAAAGGAAAAATTTGTAACTAAGGTGACACGTGAAACTTTATAAAGATATATATTTATATATAAATAAAAGAAAAAGTAATTTACTAAAGTATATTATATGAATAGAAATATATTTATATATAATTTGTTTTTGTGAAGTGTTTTTTAGAAGTAAATTAAGAGAATAAATTTTAAATTAACAATTCTTGTTTTCCTACCTTATGATACCCCTTATAAACTGTTGCAAAAGATCCTCTCCCAATTTCGTTGCCAACTATATAGTTTCCTACGCTTTGTTGATGGGATCTATTTACAGTAGTCATTTTTAAATTACAACCTTTTTATTTTTAAATCAGAATAAATAGCAGTATATAAATATATGTTATATCAAATAATGAGTAGGTAATGTGTAGTGATAATTTTAAATAAAAAAAATTGCTTGAATTTTTTGAATTGATAATAATTAATGATAATGGTGATTGGGGACTTTGAAGAAAAAAAAAGAAGACTAATTAATAATAACTTTGGCTAACAAAACTCGAATTTATCAAAATGAAAAAATGAAAAATGTAGTTTCTAAATACGCACGCACAAACCAATGTATGTAAACAAAGGTCACGAGGTAATACTTTAAAAATAATGTGCACGATATTAAATATAATGATCAAATTTTTTTCGATTATCAAATTTGAAAAAAAAAATGTTTAGAAATATTCAAAGAAGAATTTTTGATCAGAGAGCTTTGATAGCTCGTAATTTTTCTTCTAATTACATAACCAAATCATCTAATATTCCTTCTTTAATTATGAACAATAATAATCATCATAATAAAATTATTTCAATGGTTATAATGGTATGTAAAAGAGAGAAAATTTTATGGGTTTTATTAAATTGATTTTATTATATGTCATTCATTCGTCCATCCATTTACTAATACTTTGATCAAAAAAACCAAAGAATAAAATGATTAGAAGGAACAGATTTGGTGATAGTTATGATGATAGAGGAACTCCGCGTTATCCTGAGAAACGCCCAGGTGATTGGGTTTGTGATGTTTGTAAATATCAAAACTTTTCTTATCGAAGTGATTGTCGTCAATGTGGAAATAGACCTGTCAAACGTGATGTAGCAGAGGGAGATTGGTTATGTCCAAAATGCGATTTTTATAATTTCCAAAGTCGATCAAACTGTTTCAAATGTTCAACACCAGCACCATCATCACTATCGTCATCTGAAAATTAAATACTCACCAACAAAACATATTTTAGATAGTAAATAACAAATTTTTGTAAAAAGTTGGTAATCATTTTCTCTGTTTTCTATTAAATCTTTATTCATTTATTTAGAAATATAATTATTTTATTTTTTACCAATGTTACAAGAAGAAAATATTCATTATTAAATAAATAAATAAAACTATATATACACATTCTAATAAATAAATAAATGAATTTGAATAATCAAAAATATAAATATTTATTAAATCACACCAACGGAAATTACCCACAAAAATTTTAACCAGTGAATAGTCTAAAGAGCAAATATGTACAACTTCCCATAAATCTAAAAGCTGCCAATCCAGCAACTGACCAAAGCACAAATGCCATATAACTGTTTGCTCTGTCTGTTGAAGTAGAAATTGAATTTAAAGTGCTACTAGCATTTGTAATAATTGCAACCATAGCACCGTTGGATAGGATCCAAAGCAATACAACGCGTGTACGGAAAGATTTATAATAATCATCTTGCTTGTCTGAAGCTGACCGTTTTTTAACCGGTTCTTCATGATGACGTTGTAATTCTTCAACCGCTTCTTGATATAATGAATTTATGTCTTTTGCTTCAACAGGGACTTCAACCTCGACTGTATTATTATCTGGAGTTGTTGTTACAGAACCTAAATCATGTTTTACCACTGCATTATCTCCTTTAGTTCCCCAACTAAAAAATAAAATAGTAATAATATTTAATATTATCACTATTATAAAGTATTATATGAAGGAGTTATATAGATGGTTAAGGAACCTTACCTAACATCATGTACATTACAAAAAGCATAAACATTCAAAATGTTGATATAGAATGGAACCAATAATAAATATTGAATCAAACTATTAAACATATGCCAAGGTTCAAAAAACAAGAAACTGGCAGTGAAATATAATCCATAAGTAGAAATAACTGAAAGAATAATATTTTTAAATGTTGAATTTCCAAGAATAGCACCAGCTGTTGAAACATTAGCACCTGGATCTGCTACATCATTATTTAATTTTTGTATTTGCGCTGCAACCCCTTTATATGTTAACCATCCCGCTGCAAATAACATATAAACCATAAGTCCGGAAAAAAATGATATCGATGCAATATAAGCCCATTTAGATCTTTTTTTTTTAAAAAGAATAATAAAAGATTAGTTAAGATGAATTAAAAATTAATTAAATATTTATTAATAAGAAATAATTATTGTGATATATACCCTTGAGGTCTATTACCCATAGCTAATATAAATTGTATTATAAGAAGCGTTAAATATACGTATCGTAATATATTAAATATAATGTCGCCAGCAGTTTTAGACCATAAACCTTCAATAACTTCATCATCCGTAAGGGAATTACCCAAAATGTAAAAGGTTAAATAAAAATTACCCTACAAAATTATAATCAAAATAATAATCAAAATAATAATTTAATAATAAATATATAAATATATATATAGTATAAATAAGATGTATAATTTTTTACCAATCCCAACCAAGAGAACATTAAATTATATGCTTGATAAAACATTTCAATATGCAACAATATTTTTCTAAATTTAGAGTGACCACTTCTCCATATTGCAAAAGTATGACATATAGCATACACTCCAGCAAAGAAAGAACCATTCAACCAACGGCGTCTTTGAGAAATCAATTCAGCTACTGTATCAGGTACATCTGTTTCAGCATAAGCTGACTTTATATATTGCAATAACCAGGCATCATCTCTTTTTGCAACTAATTCAAAACACAAAATACGATCTTCAGCAAGATACATATTGGCCGTAAAGATATCTGCATCACCCCCATGTTGAGATTCGCCCAAAAAATATGATTTCAAAGGACCTACTTGATTTTTATCATTCTGAAGAGCACGGTAGCGATATGCAGAAAATGCACCAGGTAATACAGTAATATAACCAAATACTGACTCAAGTGGTTTATCCAAAATATTTGACATCTTGTATTCAAAATTTTGTGATGCAACCAATGGATTTAATAAGTTAACTCCTGCATTGCCTGTCATAGCCTTAATTTCGCCACATGCACCACCAAGATTAGGATTGATGTCGAAAGCTTTCCACAAATGATAAATAGACGTGCTACCAGGTTTTGTACCAACATCAATTAAAACACATACTTGTGGATCTAATATTCTACCGAATGCATTGAAAAACCAGCGATGAGAATTGATTTTTTTTGCATTTTTTTCCTTCAAGCAAAAAAGGACTTGAATAGGAACTGAGCTCTCATCTCTCTTCTTAAATTTCATATCAGATCCAATAGAAAGTTGTGTGGTATACTCATAAAGATGAGCAGTTACTTCTTTGCCATTGATCTGGTTCTTAGCCACTCCCTCCTGATAAACACCTAATGCCGCCAAATAAGATAAAGTTCGATGATTTATCTTAGTACGACCATCAGACACAATACAAACAACAACTTTTTTCCATCCGTCTTTTCCCCATGTACGAGAGCGTCCACGAGTACATAAATGATTTATATTTTTTTCAACTCCATGGAATGTACGTGCAAAAAGTACTTCATCTTCCTATTAAAAAAAATATAAAAAAATATATATACATTATTGAATTAATTGAATCAATTAATCAACGACAAAACTTATGTTAAAAAATATGTGTGACTATAAAAAAATTAATTTTTACATACATTATACATAGTGAGTACAATAAATAACTCTGTTTGTCTTGGTGGGTCATAAAGTTGTTGACGAAGTGTATAACCTTCATTTTGAAAATCGTTGGGATCACAAGTACAAGGTGTATATCTCATTAATGAAAATTCTCCATCATTTTTTCTTTGAACCTCGGATAAAAGTTTCGTTGGAACTGGACAATCAAGAACCACTTTTCCTCGAAATAAATCAACTCTTTTAGTAGTTTTAAAACGACGTGGTTGTCTTACAGGAGCTTCACCATAATGAAGTGGAGTTTTTTCTTCCTCAAAATTAGTATTGCTGGCATTTGATTGAACTAATAAGGGTAGTGTGGCAGGGTCAGAAAAATTTGAAGTTGGTATACTTGGAGGATAAAGTGGAGGTTCTTGAAGAGGTCTTGGTATGTATCCACCATACTGTTGAGGGTTTGGTGGTGGTGGGTATCCTTGAGACATTATTACTTTTTTTTTCAAATAGGTTCTTGAACTTGATTTTTTTAATTGATAAGTTTTTTTTATTTTTAAAAAAAAGGTAATATAAGGAATAAAAAAGACAATACCACCAAGATAATAAAATTTTTTTGTGTTATCAATTACTATTTATAAAAAACGTCATACAAGTTCAAGACCCAAATTTGGAAAGAGTGCTCAAAAAATCTAACTAAAATTCAATAACAAAGATATAATAGGTCTGACAAAGCCATTGAATTATTAATAAATATTAATATATCAATTTGCAAATTTCCAAGTTAAAGTTTCGCCCGCCATAAAAGGAACAACAAATTGTTCATTCAAGTTTTGATCTAGATATGAATATTTTTCTGGAACTTTTACGGATGCCTTGATTAATTTAGTTTTCAAAAGTTTATCGTTATGTTCGATACCATAAAATTTCTTGCCATTTTCACATGCAAAATCATTTAATCTTGGAATTGCACCAAATGAATCTAATATTGTTGCAAGATAAGCTAAAGCCAAAGGTGTTGTAAATACACCTGCACATGATTGAGCACATTCTTTCAAATGAGCTGGATGTGGCGCTGAATCTGTTCCCAAGAAAAATCTTGGATGACCTGTGTGAGAAAGTTATTTTTTAAAATGTTTGTAATGATATTTTTTTAAAAAATTTCAACATTCTTACCTTCAAGAATCACATCACGTAATGCTTGGCGATCATGAGGATATTTTGCAACTGGTTTACAAAAATTATGGCATTTTCCTGCCCAATCATCCGCTACTAATTGAAGATGATGGATAGTAATTGTGCAGCCAACAGTATCTCCAAGAGATTTAACCTAATGATTAGTTAAATTAACCAGTTCTTTTTCAGTGATTTTCTGTTTAATTAATTAAAAATATCATAGTATATTTATCTTACGACGTCAACCGCAGCTTTAGTTGTTGCATGTTCCAAGACAATTTTTAGGTTTGGAAAATCTTGATGTAATTTTTGTAAGTGAACCAAAAACTTTTCTTCTGCATTTAAAACGCATACATCCTAGTCATAAATATTGTTTAGATTTCTTTTTATTGTTGTCGTCGTCGTCGTCGTTGTTGTTGTTTGTAATTTTTTTTTTATTTGAACTTAAAGCATGAAATATTCAAACCTGATCTGGGTCACTAGGGAGTTCACCATGAAGATTTAAGATCATTCCTTCTTCTTCCATAGCTTTGAATACTTGATAATAATTCGTATATGATTCAATTCCTGAATCTGAATTAGTTGTAACACCTCTAGGATACGATTTAACACCTAAGATTACAATTAAACATTAAATTATTCAGCCAATATCAATAAAACGATGTTTTAAAAAGTGATGATAAATAAATGCATGCCAACAATTCCATGTGCTTTAGCTTTTCTTATTTCTTCAGGTGTCAATTCCGGACAAAGGTATAGACTCATAAGAAATGTGATATTAGGTGCCAACTCTTGAAGTTTGCCTTTATATGTTAAAGCTTGTTCTGTTGAGGTAATTGGTGGTTTTAAATTTGGCTATTATTAAACAAGAAAAGTTTATTAACATGTTATGATTTTTTTTAAATGTTATTAAAAGTACATCACCATAACATAACACAATGAAACACCTCCTTCAGCCACAAGAGGAACGACCAATTTCATTAAGGCATCTTGTCGTAAATGAATATGAAAATCACAGGCTGAGGTAATATTGAGTGCATTTAACATTTCTAAAAAATTTTCTATATACCAAAAAAAAAAAAAAGAATAGATGTTTCACGAACTTCACAATAAAGGTAATCTGCGATCTGTGAGGCGCGTTAATATTAATATTAATAAATTGTAATTTTTTCTCCTTTTAATGAAAAATATGAACGATCCTTTTATATCCTTTTGTAAGCGTAGATTTGAGAATACAAAAATCCATGTCAAAGAAAAGTGGCTCTCTGGTTCTATTCAAAAAATTTGTTCCAATGAATCCAGCAATGATACTTATAGTGAATTATATACTAAAATTTATAAAAAATTCTTGAAATCAAATCTAAAGGATTCCATTCACTCCACTATACCACAAAATATTGTTGACACACATCTTACAATGCTCGATGAAGGCAAACCAGCAATTTTACAAATAATCGACATTGTAGAAATTGGAGTTTCAACACAAAAATTATATGATATGTTAAATAGTTATTTATCCGGTTCGTTAAAACAAGGCCATAAATACAAAGATGTTAGTAAACAATTTAAGAATAATGTTCAAGATGTACAGCTTCCACGTTCTATTCTCAAGTTAACTTTGACTGATGGAAATCAAATTTTCGATGCAATAGAATGCAGTCCTATAAAAGATTTAAATTTATCTACACCAATTGGAACAAAGGTACATTAATATACATGTGTGCGAATATTTTTGAACAAATTTATTTGTTATATTTTTTAATTATATTCATTGTTATCTTGTTACAAATAATAAGATATCTGTAAATAAAACACAGATATTAAGAGGTTTCTTGTGTCTTAAACCAGATAATATAAATGTTTTAGGTGGATTTGAAACTATAGATCAATACAAATATTTAAATGTATTACTTGAAAAATTAAAAAGACAACTAGATGAAAAGAAAACAGGAGGAACTTCAAGGATTAATTGTTCTGACCATCGTAACTCAATATCACAATCAGAAATCCAAGATCTTAATGTCAATGAACCAATAGAAACTTTTCAAAAAAATCAAAAATCAAAACCTGATTATAATATTGATCAAATCGATTATGTTTCTTCGACACCAATGTTACTAGAACCAAAAGATCAAGATTTCAACGATCAAAAACATGATCCTGAATTTTTGCCTATGAATAATAGTCTTGATGATTACGATAACAATCACAACTACGTTTCCTCAACAAAAATGTCAATGAAACCAGAAGACAAAGACCTTGATGACAATAATACGAATGAATATTGGCAACACAATGAACCTGAGGCTTGGTCTAAAAATAATCATCCAGATTATATTAATAATAACGATCCAACGCCACTACCAATAAAACTAGAAGAGCAAGACTTTAATGACAATAATACGAATGAATATTGGCAACACAATAAACCCGAGGCTTGGTCTAAAAATAATCATCCAGATTATATTAATAATAACGATCCAACACCACTACCAATAAAACTAGAAGAGCAAGACTTTAATGACAATAATAACGATCCAACGCCACTACCAATAAAACTAGAAGAGCAAGACTTTAATGACAATAATATGAGTGAATATCGGCAATCCAATGAACCTCAAGTTTGGTCTAAAAATAATCATCTAGATTATACTAATAATAATGATTCAACGTCACTACCATTAAAGTCAGAGGGACAAGACTTCAATGACAATAATATGAGTGAATATTGGCAATCCAATGAACCTGAAATTTGGTCTAAAAATGATTATATTAATAATAATGATTCAACGCCACCACCATTAAAGCTAGAGGAACAAGACTTCAATGACAATGATTCGATCAAAAATGGCCAAACAAACGAGCCTGAATTTTGGTCTAATAATAATCCTGATTGTAATATACTAGAAAATCATCAAACAAATGAAGCAGAACCGACGGACAATTTTTATTGGGAAAACATTGGTAATGAACATATAATTGATGATTTTGATCTTGATGATGATGAATTAGAATGTCGCAGGTTTTCGATATTAAAACTTGCAGAAAAGACCGAGAACTTACATTTAGCAAATGAGAACAAACAAAATCAGCAAACTAAAGACTTATCAAAAGAAAATCATTTTAACGAAGATTTTGGATTTCATGAAAGTAATATTAATGACACAAAAAATGGTAATGTTCGATTATATTATAAGATTAGAAAAGGATTTGAAATATTGATATTGGATGATTATGATGTATGTGTATATTAACATTAATAATTTGATTGATTGATTAGACGAATGTCTTAAAAGTGAACCAGGGGAAAGGAAATTATCAATCGACGATTCATACAATCAAAAAATGCTTAAATCTTTTACTTCTGGGCCTGATAATCCAATTCAAATGGATTACGAACCAATCGAAAGAAAACTTTGTGAATTACCTGAAATATTAAAAAATAGACCATTGACGCCAATAATAGTTAATGTAATTAAAACTTTAATATTGTTGACAAATTGGGTTTGCAAATGCAAATAATTACTCTAATTAATTTAACATTTATTATTTCTTTAGGTTAATATAGACGAAATAAAAGCATTTAGCGCAAATTTTGATATTGGTCTATTAATGTGGATTATTATTAAAGATGATACCGCAAGTCAAGATGTAATAATATCAGAAAATGTATGATTTAATGATGCCTTTTTTTTTTAAAAAAAAGATTTTTATCTATAATTAATCAACTATAATATTTTTTAGATCCTTGAATCACTTTTTGAAATGGATGCTCAAGAATTTCGAAGAATTATTGCAGAGGGTGAAACCAGTCGTATTGTAAGTTTCATTATTATTGTTGCTTTATTAGAATTTAAGAAAGTTATTATATTTGGCAACTTACCAGTTTTAAAATGTTGCTTAGAATTTATACAAAAAAATATTGATTCCAATAAAAAAAATACTTTTATCAATGAAGAGATTTTGGTTGTTATTGAGTTTAGAGGAATCTACAGATTTGGATTTATTTGATTATTTTGAAGTATACAAATTACCAAAAGTTACAAAAATTATAAAATGCATTGAATGATTTTATTATTTTAATTGTGTAAATAAATAGCTGAATTAAAATCTTTATATAATGTAATGTATTTTTGCTTCTCAAAATTTATCAAATTAAAAATTCATTAGGCCCAAAAGATATTTGAGAGATATATCAAGGAACTTTAAGTATGGACGTATTCCCTTTAATTCAAGATTCTTCTTTAAACTATTCTGGGAAATAAGGTGAAATCACTTCACCTAGGAAGATTTTCCAATTGAAGGTATAAAAACTTAAAGATTCATATCAGCCAATTTGGTTTTTGGTCCTTATATCTTATTGTGTCTCGACGTTAAACACGAGTATTTTTAATGTGTAACTGGTCGGTACAATATAACCCTTGTTTCAACGGATTATAATTAAATTCGCGTTTCAACGGATTTTAAAAATTTTTGTTGCCATTATGTTAATAGTAATAGGGAAAAGAAAACCAGATCTAATAAAAGAACTTTCTACCATTGGGATCACAATACATTCCTTTGTCAAGAAACTTATCTTAATATGCTAGGACTTATTTTGAAAACATTAGAAATCATTTGATAAACAATGGTCTTTTACCAAGAATTCAATATTGATTCCAATAAAAAAAATACTTTTATCAATGAAGAGATTTTGGTTGTTATTGAGTTTAGAGGAATCTACAGATTTGGATTTATTTGATTATTTTGAAGTATACAAATTACCAAAAGTTACAAAAATTATAAAATGCATTGAATGATTTTATTATTTTAATTGTGTAAATAAATAGCTGAATTAAAATCTTTATATAATGTAATGTATTTTTGCTTCTCAAAATTTATCAAATTAAAAATTCATTAGGCCCAAAAGATATTTGAGAGATATATCAAGGAACTTTAAGTATGGACGTATTCCCTTTAATTCAAGATTCTTCTTTAAACTATTCTGGGAAATAAGGTGAAATCACTTCACCTAGGAAGATTTTCCAATTGAAGGTATAAAAACTTAAAGATTCATATCAGCCAATTTGGTTTTTGGTCCTTATATCTTATTGTGTCTCGACGTTAAACACGAGTATTTTTAATGTGTAACTGGTCGGTACAATATAACCCTTGTTTCAACGGATTATAATTAAATTCGCGTTTCAACGGATTTTAAAAATTTTTGTTGCCATTATGTTAATAGTAATAGGGAAAAGAAAACCAGATCTAATAAAAGAACTTTCTACCATTGGGATCACAATACACTCCTTTGTCAAGAAACTTATCTTAATATGCTAGGACTTATTTTGAAAACATTAGAAATCATTTGATAAACAATGGTCTTTTACCAAGAATTCATGGTAATATTAAAAAAAGGATGCCTCAATGGAAAACTAAAATGCTGATTGATAAACATGTTGCAGAAGTAGTAAAGAATTTTCTGGAAAATTATGCAGAAGTCCATGGATTACCAAGTCCAGGAAGAAGTAATAATAGAATAAATCAATTGTATTCTTATCAGCTGAAATGAGCTATAAATCAGTGCACAAGACTTTCTAGCTGGTCTGGAAGAAAATAGTAATTTGAAATCCTTAAAATATGATGCCTTTAGAAAATTATGACATCAATTGACACCAGAAATTCAAATTATGAGTCCAAGGACTGACTTGTGTGATACTTGTCAGCATTTTAAAGATGATTTACACTATAATGCTTGCCAAGAGGAAGAAGCTAAAGATCATAAAGTTGTTTTTATAAGTTTTGTAATGTAATAATACCTAGTACTAGTTAATTACTAATTGGCAAAAACAATGTATTCAAATTTAATTTCAACAAAGTATATACAATATAAATATTTTATTACCAAATATATAAATTTTAGATTTATTAGTAGTGATTTTATTAAAGACAATGGGAATAGTATTAAAGATTATCAATTATTGGTAAAGAATGTTGGGAGAATGAAAATGAATAATTGGAAAGACATGAACCTTTACAGAAATAATGATAAAATAGGTGATTTATTAAACAAACATGTGGGATTTTAAATTATAAAATTATATAAATTTTAGATTAAAATTTAATTAAATAAATAAATATTATCTCTAGTATAAACAAATAATCTATATAATGTCTATAGTAAATAATAATAAGTTTTCTATCTCTATATATTTTATCTCTCCAATCAATCAATCAATCACAGTCAATCAATAACCTTCAGTGTCTAACAACATGTTATTAAGAATAATATCACTACCAAGATAAATATTATAAATAAAATTACTAACACTATTACTACCAAATCCATTATTATTATTATTATTATTATTATCATTATCATTATTATTATTATTATTATTATTATTATTATTATTATTATTATTATTATTATTATTATTAATGCTAATGATACTATTATTACTATCAGTAGATGTAGAATTAGCATTAATAATGGTTGAAGATGAGGGAGACAAGACAGTAGCTTTCCTAACCACTTGAAACACTTCATAATCTTCAATTCTAGCATACCCATTATCAATTGGCATAATGTTTGGATGATAGCTTCTATGTTTAAATTTGATAATATTGTTTTCCATTAGTAAATCGAATTTACCAAATGAAGGTCCAATTGATCTCCAATAATTTAAAGCATACTTGTGATCTGACTCAACTATTCTTGCTATTTTACCACCATTATTATTCCAATTGTTATTATCATTTTCATTGCCATTACTGAAAATTCCATTGCCATTACTGTCATCAAGGAAATTTTTACTTAGCCCACCACCACTTTGTATGAAACTAAAGATAAAAGAATCGGTATTATAATTGAACCTTGGCCATAAATGAGATGTCCATATATTTGGATTATAACCTCCAACAAAATATTCAGAATCTTGTAATTTTACAAGTGTTATTGTCCCAACAACATTATCACAATGTTTATGAAATGTTGATGATGAAAACCCATCTCTACTACCTCTTATCAATAATTTAAATTCATATGGTATCTGATTAATTGGATATGAATAATCAACATTATTATTAGTGGTGGTGGTGGTAGCACTACTAGTGGTAGCAATATTATTAGTGTTATGATTATCTACACCACCATTATTATTACTTGTTAAATCCATTTTATCTATCCATGAGGCTATAGTTATTGCATGGTGTACACTCATAATTGTTGAAATTATTGCTCCACGATATGGCAAAATTGTAAGATTTTTTGGTCGATAAATTGTCAATGATGATGTGAATTCCTTTGTTGTTAAAGGAGAACTATTGGTGACTGCATTATTGGAGGTGATGGGCAAATGAAATTTCTCCATTGTGTCATAGAATTCACCCAATGATTTTTTGAAAGGCTTAACTCTTGTTAGAAAGTAATTAGAATTCATATGATAAAATCTAACATGTTTAGCACATTTTTGGATTATTAACCCAAATCTTTTAAAATTTTCTGAACTCCATTTACTTATATCTTTTGATAAGTTATTGGTGGTAGTAGTAATGATTGTAGTAATACTGTTATTATTATTAATATCATTTTCATCATCATTATTATCATTATCATTATTGTAAGTATTATTATTATTATTATTACTAGTGAATCCATAGTAACAATTATCAGCACTATCACCACTATCACTATTATTAGTACCAGTAGTCGTAATAATTCTATTGATACCCCATTGTACCAATTTTTCCCAAATCACCATTTCTTCCATTTCTAATTCATCATCCTTTAATAATTGTTCCAAGCAATCTTCTGGCAATAATAAAAATTCATCTGAGTCAAATAACAGATTAGGATATTTGCGAATACGATCTAAACAGAAATCTTGTAATTTCTTTAATGCATTTGTGTTAAAAGTAATACGGAAGATTATGGGAAGGTTGTCTTTAAGCCATTGGATATGTTTATTTAGTAATAATGTTTGTGTGTAATCAATAAACTCGTCCAATAATAATTCATCAGCTGCCATCAAGCATTCAAATATTACCAAAGGTTCTTTCTCTTCTTCGTCAAACATGATTTTTCCTCCATAAATAAACCTATTAATAAAAGCATGTATATTATATATATATACATTGGTTGAGACTTACAGAAGAAAAACGAAATAACTTTATAAAAAATAAATATACAAACTTTAAAATAATTTCAAAAACAAATGGAGAAATATTTGGTTTTCTGAATTGGATAATTCCATTTTCTCTTTTTATCCATTCTTTTTTCAAATAATTAGCAAAATATGTGGACCTTACACGTAAAATGTTGGAATGAACTTGAAAAGTTTTTACAATATTAGTTGTTGTCACTGCTATGTCTTCCTCACCATTACCACTATTATCGTTGTTGTTGTTGTTGTTGTTGTTGTTAAAAAAATAGCCTCCTCCTCCACCTATATGTATTACCATATCATGATCTGATGTATCATTCAATAATTTCAACAAATCATTGTGATTTTTGATAATTTCTATTGGTTGATAAAATGGAATATATATATATGTTAAATTCGTCAAACCTTGACACAGCAAACTATAATAATAATCAAGCTCTTATCATAACGGATTTTTAAAAAAAATTTCTTTGCATATCACATGTAAAAACATATAAAATTTTGTTGTGGCAAGATTAGTATTAGTATTTAGTAATTTCGCCACAATGGATTTTAAATAAAATTTGTTTGTGTACTGTTCATCTGCTGCGGCAAGGTTTGACTATATTGTGGAATTAACTACATACTGTATATGATTGAAGGTATTTAATACTACTATACTAATAATACTACTAATAATAATGCACCACAGGATAATAGAAGTATAATATGATAATCAGGGTTTTTATGATAATGAAGTAGTATTACGATCTGTTACAACCTTTAATTATAGTAATTGTAATAAATAGGGTTGACGGCATAATATTATTGTTATTATTATATATATTCATTATTTAAAATTTCTTTAAATATTTGAATACTTCACTAGTTTTACAAGTTTACTTGCAAGATGTGAAATACTATGGTGCGGGACCTCTTAAACCACCAATTTTGCATGTGATTTTTAAAAGAATAGAAGTTCATTTCTGTATATTATTTTTAAAAAAATAGCTCTGTTATGACATAGATTAGGACCCAAGCTTTAATGTGA